GTGGCTGACTCTGAACTTTTACAAAGAATATCTCTTTGGATTTGAGACTTTAGTCTTTGCAACTTTACAGACCTTCTTTATGCACCAAGAGCTTGTAACACTCCAAAGAGAAAGGAAAAATTGAAATCGCATCATATGACCCCTTTAAAGCCATGTTGCTGCTGTGGTTTTTCTTCCTCTGACCTCAACTCATGCCTTGCTCTCTCATTGGCTGTAGGTCGTCGCAACACCTTGATACTGTAAAACTGCTTTGACACAATCTGTATTGTTAAAAGTGCTATATAAATAAAGGTGACTTGACTTGACTTGACCACGTGATGTCAAGTCGGCTGATAGGTCCAGAATCCAGATATTTAACATGCTTGATATTAGGCTCGTTTGAGATGAGCAAAATCTGCAAAATCTGCACCGATCACCAGTGATCACCGGAAGATGCATGGGCAAAATATAGACTTTATTGACACCAAGGAACACACACAGAAATAGACGTTTTAAGACAGGACAAATGACTCCGGAAAACACAGGGCTTAAATAACAAGGAACTAATTGGGACACACCTGAAATCAGTGAATAATCAAAACACGGGAGAAACTGGGTCATGGGGAGCATATGGGGAGCAAAACACAAGAGACAGAACTGACATTACTCCCCCCTCCCCGAAGGTACGTCCACGCGCCACACAACATCCAATGGGGAGGGTGTACCCGTTCCGGCACCCATGGCGGAGCAGGCAGAAAAGTGACACATTGGCGGAGCAGGGAAATCAGGGGGCCTGGCCTTGGAACTCGGCCTGGCCTCTACGGCCGGATCCCTATAAACCCCCCCCCAAAAAATAATTATTGGGGAAAATATCGGCCCTGTGGCCCTCCCTGGGCTTGACATTGGAACAGAAGTCCTCCGTAGGCTGGATGTGGGAACAGGAGCCCTCCTTGGGCTGGACGTGGGAACAGGAGCCCTCCTTGGGCTGGACGTGGGAACTGAAGCCCTCTCTGGGTTTGCCTTGGGGACTGGAGCCCTCATTGGGCTGTACGTGGGACCTGGAGCCCTTTCAGGAGTGGACTCAGGGGCTGGAGCCGATACTGGAGCGGACACTGGGGCTGGAGCCAACACTGGAGCGGACTCAGGCGCTGGAGCTGACACCAGAGCGGACTCAGGGGCTGTAGCTGACACTGGAGCGGACTCATGGGCTCAAACTAACAGTCTTTTTCTCCGCCTACTCATTCTCTAGTTTGGAGTTAAGGAGCGGGCTGCTGTTAGCTAAGGGCTTGGAACGGAATTGGCCAGCGGGCTTGACAATTGAACGGCCGGCAGGCTTGAGAGTGCAGAGACCGGCGGCCTCGACTGAGAAGCAGAATGCAGCGGCCGGGCTTGAGTTCCGAGCGGTCGGCAGTCTTGACGACGGAGCGGTTCTGGTCCGGGGCCGGACGCTCTCCAGACATCGGAGGATCCCCTCCCTCCAGCTCAGTTCAGTGGTGTCTGGGAGGTCCACGGGGCGATGGTAATTGGCCCCGATCCAGAACAAGGAATTCAGAGTGGCGTCGTCTAATGCCGTCATAACGGCGAGCCCACAGAATTCCCGGTCGTACTCCATGAAGTGAAGATCTCTTTGGGCTAGGGCGGTGAATCTCGTGGCGGTTTTAATCACGGGGGGGGGGACGGAAAACAAAACACTTTCAAAACATGGAAACAAAAACGAGAAGGGGCACCACACTTACTGCTCCTGTCTTCTGTCACGGAGTGCCTACTGTGTAGGAATGAGGAGACGAAGGAGCGCGGAGTTGTAATAAAGGTGCATTATTTTCCTCTGTTCTAATATTTAAATGAACACACCTTCAAATGATTCCACATAAGAAACAATATATCCACAGTTTATTTTCTTCAAGATCGTGACTTCCTGTTGGACTCTGTCCAGCTCCTTCCTCTGAGGGGAACAATTGTAGTTGTTGTTGGGTTTTTTTAGCAAAAGAAGAACTTCCATTTAAAAGTGACTTTCTTATAGCAACTGAAAAATGGCAACTTTAATAACTTGTTTTGTTTAATAAAAAAGATGTAATTAGTATGGTCAATGCTTAAGTAAATTCTTGATTTAGTAAATGCTTAATTGTACTTACATCTCTTGAATTCATCTGTTTTACCACATAATGATCTTCATCTGAGTTGGTCACCAGAAACACTCTTCCTGAAACCCCTCGTCCAACTTCTTTCTGCATGGTGTATCCATGTTTATCTAACACTCCTATAACCAAGATTTAGAGTAATTTCTACAAAATACAATGAACACTAGAGAGCTTTTTGGAACTTTGAACCAATTGCTTCTAAATTATTTATTTATAGACCAATTTGGAGAACACGTCACAGTTACATCACTTGCTGCTGCGCGTGTATAGTGGTGGTAGAAAAACACTGGGAACAAGTGGAGGGAAACGGGTAAAATTCATGGAATAAGAGAACAAATGTATTGTTGTGCCTTTGGATGTTAGAATCGGAATGCAAATAATTTTTATATAATACTGCCGTCAAAGACGCCATTTGAAGCTAAACGCAGACGTTTAAACAGACAAACTGTTGATGAAACCTGCTATGATTACCCAACTTTTAAAGCATAAATTTGATTTAAACAATAGGTCTATATAATATTCACATAGGGGACCAGGGATTGAAATGAACTTTTTTACTCACCAGCCATTTTGGCTTCTAAATTTTTAAGTTACCGGCCATTTATAACTTCTACCAGCCAAAAAAAAATAAAAATATATATATTTTGCTGAGTGTGTTATTGTGCTGATATCTTAATGATACCGTGGACAGTTGACTCCTAAAGTTTTTGATATTCTTCATATTCTGTGTGGTCAGTTCACAGCAGTGATAGAAATTAAGCTTTTCCAATAAGTTTAGATTGATTTTTACCTTTTATGGGCATTTTTACCTTTATAAATCCATTTTTACTAAAAGTATGCATCATCATTTGAGTCAAATTCTTACATTTAATCAGGCAATTATAACAATGCTACATTTAGGCTGTTACTAAGCAAATTAAATCAGTATCAATAAAATTAATCTTTGCAGAAGTTGCATATGAAGAGGCATTTAGACGCATTTACACGTTAATGCAGCTTAGAGGGACATGGGATACTTTAACCTGCAGTTACAAATGCATAAATAATGTTTTGATATTTTAAACATGAAATGTTGAATAGTGATATTTAAATTATTTTAAAAATTAAAAGATACTTTAAATGTGAAATTAAATCTGCCAGTAAGTGGCAGCAAGTCACTGTTAAGTGAGTCATTGCGAATGAACCAAATCATTTAAACGGTTGATTTTGCTCAGAGACGCAAAACAGCGCTGTGTTTGGAATGTTTTCTGTTGGCGAAATAGCTCAAAAACAGCCAATATGCTGTCTAAAACGTAAGTCTCTTGATATTAACTTATTGTTTATTGAACTGTTGTATAAAATCAATATCACATTTGTAACCATGCTGATTTTTTTTTTTAAAACGGCATATAGTTTGATATTAACTATATGAATTGATATAAATATATACATTTTCCAACCCCCTTATTTTGAATTATGTGATCATTCGTAATGCATATTAACAGACTGAATCATGCAATGAAAGAATGCACTCTAAATGCGCACAGCACAAAGTTAGTCTAACCAGACTACATCACGTCGCGTATGCATGCACTTTGTAACTTAGGTGTGTTTTGTTTGGTTTTTGCAATATACTCGATAATGTCATGATGTCTCACGAGTTCAGTATTTGCGCTAAACCTGCTCAGATTTGGCTTGCATGAACTTCCCAAAGAAATTAATGAGTGAACATAACTTACGAAAAGTAACCCGCCAAACTGTCTAGTGATTTGACAGCGTTACCCGCCACAGCTGATTTTGTTGTTAATTTCAAACCCTGTAGGGGACATATTGTATTAGCCCTACAGTTAAAACATGAAATACCATTTAAACCTATAACATTTGACATTTTATTTTTTTCTTGCAAATGCAAGTTTATCTAGTTCGAACTTTATAACTTGATTCAACTCAACAATTGCGAGGAAAATAAGCCAGAAGTGTGGGATTATAAACTCATGATTCTGAGCAGAGGGGAAAAGAGAAAATGACGAGTTGATTTTTCTTACCAGAATTGTGAGATATAATCTCAGAATTTAAAGAAAAAAGTCAGAATTTAGAAATATAAACTCAAAATAAATGTTTTTTATTATTTTATTCCGTGGCTTGCATAGACTGCTATGTTGAAACTGGCATTTTTTGACAAGCAGATAGGCTCCGCCAACAAAAACTTCATCACTGTTTGCAAACACTGAAATTGGTCTATTTATTTATTAGCCTAACTAACCCCATATCTGGACGCCTGCTGGTCAAAATGGTGTAAATGCAATGAAAACTCACTTTAAAAAAGCACACACCTATTACAAAACAAATGCAAATATTTTCTTGAATGTTTAATCTATTAAATGCGATCTGCATAAAATACTATTAAATATTAATTTCCTGTATACTATTTTATTTCATTTATTTGTGGGGTTTGGTTTGTGTGTTTATGGG